ACACGATGGTTTAATTACAAAGCTTTTATTCTCCTTCTTTTGCCAACTTTCTGCGTAAACTTCAATATGAAGCGAAATGATCTGAATTCTTCAAATTTAAGAAAACTTAGCGATGCATAGATTAGTTATGGGTTAAACTGTCTGATATGCTAGAAATACTTCTTTATTAGCCAGTGATACATTCAGAGTCTGACAGTGACGGCTTTCAGAATGATAGGAAAGAAGTTTCAGGATTGTCATATTAGGGCATGTTATCAGGATATGGGGTGTTTGCTTAGAAGTCCATTTTCCTTCAAAATCAACCCAATAACTTCATTCACTTCTATGCGTACCAAATAATCCAACAGCAGAAGATGGGGAGGTCCAAGCCATTTGCAAAATAAATTACATGAACTGTGACAAATACTATATTGGTTAAAGTGGGTGTCCTCTTCGACTCTGAATCCAAATGCATACACTAGCTATTAAAAAACACCATATGTATTCTTTCATATCAATGGATATAGACAACTATGTATGTAGAAGTATGTAGAAACTTGAAACAGTGGTAACATTAAAAGTGCGAGAGAATTCCTAGAAGCCTAGTGCTCAGATGAATCTACAGTTAGCAGATATATAACATTGAGGAAATCTATCAACTAATAGAGAATAGAGGATTTTATCATGAGCTGACATCAGTTACAGAACCATTGGAAAACCACCTGGGAGTACTGAACATCTGTTTCGTCCTAGTTTGGGACTCTTTAAAAGTACGCAACCACTCTGTGGGGTTCGCACCCAGGACCTCCTGGTTACAAGGCGAGTTCGTAGACCATTAAGTCACTGGGATGTGATCCAATGGCCAGTGCACGAATTCTAACTTCTGCCAATTCATGACATAGCGCGACCACCTCACAGTGTCTTCTTCGATGAGTTACTGCCTAACCTTTAACCTGCTGCACTCCATTTGTAACGGCTTCCCACTAGAACCCCAGGTTAACTGCCTGAATAAGGCGAGTCGCCAGGGAGCATCAGATAAATTTTCAAGTATTGATATTTAGGGAATTTTGTTTGATTGGATGGAGGATTTGATCATTGGGTCGGTTCCCAGTGGCTCAATGGACTACGAGGTGGCCTTGTAACCAGAAGGTCCTGGGTTCCAAACCCAGTGGGTGTGTACTGATGGGGAGTCCCAAACTAGGATGAAACAGCTGTCCAGCACTTCCAGCTAGTTTTCCAGTGGTTCTGTAACTGATATCAGCTCATGATGAAATCCTCCATCCAATCAAACAAAAACCCTACAAACCAATTGCTTGATCATACATCTATGCAAATATTTTCATTACCTTAAGGCTGGTTTTATCGTAAATTAACATCAACCGTAGGAAACACAAGAGTCCCCTAAAATCAGTTTTGCCACAACTTTGCATTAATCAACAGGGCTGTATAAAAAGCTGCAAGATGAATAGTCTGAGACTGAGTTAAAATGCATTGATTTATAAATTCTGCTGTTTTAAATTCTCGAATACCAGTATTATTACTATTATTGTACTGTTATTCACTTGGGTTCCAAATGGAACATAGGTATTCAGCAACACATCTCCACTTTGTCTTATTCTCTGCAATCCTCTTCATCTGACTCCACGACCGTTCATACATCCCCTCTTCAAAATATCTCCTCTGTCTCACCATCGGACAATCTTTCCGCCGTTTTCCGTTCGTCTTCCACTCGAGCAGTGGCCTGTTGCACGATATCGCTCAACGTTTACCCCAGAGTGTATCCAATCCATCTCCATTTTCATCGGCATATTTTTTGAGCAATAGGTTCTTGATTGGTTCGTTCCCGGAGTCCATTGTTGACAGTCAGTTCTGACCAGCCACCTGATATTCACTATGCAGCGGAGGTAGCTGTCGGGAATGATTGACTTGAAGCAATTTCTGACCCATACAGAAGGAATGACTTAACACTAGTGCTGAAAATCTGAATTTTGTTTTTTTTACTAAGTGCATCGGATCTCCAAAGTGATTTCAGAGTGAAGGTCTGTCTTGCCTTTCTCATTCTGGTCCTGGCTGTTATAAAGACCTAATTTTTCTAAAATACTACATTTGTCTTTATAGTACAGTGCTGTTCGTAATTACCCCTACTTACGACACTGGAACCCTATTGGTCGTCAACTTTTTTAACTTGCCAATATAATTAATGTCTTTCAAGGACATTTACAGCATATGTATGTGCAATCGCTGCCGGCTTCTCGTGCCAGTTTGTTGGTTTTAGCATGTATGTCCTCGAATTTGTGTATTATTAGACACAAACTGTCCACGAAATCCATATCTTCTAAAAATCTTCTCATGATACACCGTATTCCTGTCTTCTGGCTACCCACTCACAGTCTTCCTCATGGTTCAATGCACTATATCATCAGTGATAATACGCAGCCTTGTCTTACTCCTGTATTCAATTCAAGGGCTTAGTCGAGTTTTCCGTTGTGGATCACCTGGCACATGCTATTGTCCTATAGCTGTTGGATGAGGTTGATAAAGATTTGAGATGCTGTACTCTATAGCATTACAGTAGTTTGCAGATTACTTCGTGGTCAACTCTGTTAAAGGCCTTTTCAAGGTCGATGAAATTGATGTAGAGATTTGACTGCCATTCTATGCTGTGTTCAATGGCGATACGTAGGTTTGCAATTTCATCAGCACATGATTCGCCTTTCTGAATCCAGCTTGTTCCGAGAGCAGTTCTGAATCCAGAGCATCTTTTATTCCCCGTGAGGTGATATGACTTAACAGTTTACTTGGCGTGGACAGGATCATGATTCCACGCCAGTTCTTGAAGATGCCTAAGTCGACCTTCTTTAGTAATCTGACAAAGTAGCCTTTCTTCCACTCAGCGGGTACCTTTCCTTCCTTCCAAATGTTTTACAATGGTGGAGTGAACATATCTTCTGCGGTCTCTGGATCCGTTTTTAGTACTTCATGATAAATTCCGTCCGATCCTGCTACCTTTCTGGCTGGGTTTCAGTAGCTTGGCAACATTCATGATTTCTGATTTTTTGAAGGAATACCAATATTATCACCATTCACTTCTGTTAGTAACTACCTATATTATACTAGCCTGGCCTTGAAATCTATGTATATATGTTTTCTGGTGTTGGTTTGCATGGATTTGAGTGGCATAGGCTTGATCACTGGCTGAAATCAGCCATAGAATCACTAGAAAACCGGGGAGTACTGGACAACTGTTTCGTCTTAGTTCCGGACTCCTCGGCACTTCACAACAGATGGCTTTCAAGCCCAGGACCCCGTGGTTACAAGGCAAGTTCATGGACCATTAGGCGAGTTGGCAGAAGTTGGAAATTATGAACTGAATCCCGGTGATTGAATGGCCTGCCAGCCTGCCTTGTAACCAGAAAGTCCTGGGCTTGAGCTCCACTGGGTGCAAACTGATGAGGGTTCCTAGACTAGGGCGACACGGCAAGCCAGTACTTCCTGGTTTCCCAGATATCTGTACATATATGAGTAGCTTGAAACAGCACGTTTTATCGTTAATGAAGTAAATGAATAACCTCCATAAAAAGGTGTTTAAATAAGCTTATATTCATATAACACAGGTATTTATTAGATTTTTCTCAGCCTCTAATATTGTAGTCGTTATGACAGTGTGAACTAACTACCTCTGAAGTACATCACTGTGTAATACTTGACTATGAAGTAAGGCTGGGTTAGAAATAATTGCAGTACGATTTATCATTGTAATAATCATTGTAATAATAATTGAGAAAAAAATAAGAAAACGTATTCTAATGAAAAAACAAACAAAAACAAATACAAGATATCGAAGTATGTTACTCAGTTGATCATATAATTTTTTGAAAATACTGCTGATGACTATGATAACAGTTCGTTGTCATTTTGACAAATGCAGTCAGTCAGTCAGTCAGCAACATTACAATAAAGCTAAAGGATTTCCCTTACCTGGTTGATGGATGCAAAGTAGACATACGAACAAGCAGATAGAGAAACTAATAATAAGTAAAGCCATATCTTTCTGTCTTATCAATTTCAGTAGCCATACGCAGATGTAATGAACACATATAGTGTAATATTAATCATACTGTAGAGTATGAAAGGAGAGAGAATATCTGTATAAATACTGGTGAATATATCTGAATGCATCGTAGAATAGTTTGACCATTAATAATATGAACTAAAAATACTATATGGTAGTAACTACTTCCTTCATTCTTTGTATTTGAACTCTAAGGGTTTCATATCAAGCCCTACAGTGAAAGCTACAATGTATAAAGTGGTATCTATTTCTGTAGCTGTCAGTCTTCTTGGATCACTGCGTTGCCTGAATTCCCATCCAGCATGATGCATCAAATTTTCTCTAATTCTTATTGTTTTAATCAATGAATTATGCTCTTGAGTCGGAAAATATACTCACGCACATTTTATAATTGGCTTTCAACCTACCACTGAGCATTACTTGAAGACTAAGGAAAAAAAACTACCCTAATCGATTGGTTTATGCTACGGAGTGAACAGGACTGTGTCATGTGATGCACTATGGATTACTATTTCACTTGAAGATCCTGGGCGAAGAGAAAATTTCATGCAGTAAAGTACACTGAGAATTCTGTACATTGTATAATTATCTTGTCTAGAATAAAGCTTATTATTATTATATAAATTCTAATTAGAATAGGATATGAAAATAATGCCTATTATGTCAAGTGCATTAGTCTTTAATTCAGTAAAGTGTACCTAGTTTCAGTTTATATAACTCTTGAGATCTACTGCCTAGTACGGACGGACATGTGTGCTATCAGGGTGTGAAACAGGAAATAAAACAATTGTGTCTCACTTCACTTTTGGTTTCTTCAACTAATGAAAGATTTATTCAAAATTGTTAATATTTGTTGAGTAATAATTAAGCATATTTTTGTTGAAATTTTTATTAATTTTTGCATGTCCTTGTTGTTATGCAAGTTAATTTTTCATTCACATATTTTTAGAAAACGAAAGAAAGAAACAATTCAGATGTTTATGATGATCCAACTGGATGGTGTATATCAAGTAATGAATTGGAAAATAATGCAAATGAAAATGATGTTTTCACAGAAAAGTCAACAATTTCATTGTCTAAACCAGCAACTACTCACATTAACACCATCACTACCAACCCAACGACAACAACAGCAATAAAATCTAGTCCATCAGAAAAACATCCCCATTTATTTGCCCATAATCCTTGTCTTGTTTATGAAAATATAGATTACTATACAAAAAACTATAGTCCTGTAGGTTTGACGGATAGTGGCAATTTCTCGAATCGATCAAGTGATGTCTCCTTCAGTATACATTCAATAAATGATGGAACTGTTGGTCAAAAAAATAATAATTTAGATTCATATGAAGACTATGAAGTAAGTAGATTATTGTTATAATTATAGAATAAGTAAAAATTTGATTTTATCAGAGCAGTATTTAATGGTAAATGTCTTGTTATCATTAATGGCAGCATAAGTGAGGCTCAAAATCTCTTCCTTTTGAATATATATATATATATATATATATATATATATATATGGTTAATGAAGTATGTTGGATTACAGGATTTCATCATGAGCTGAAATCGGTTAGAGAACCATTGGAAAGTCTACCGGAAGTACTGGACAACTGTTTCGTCCTAGTTCGGGACTCATCAGCAGTACGCACCCACTGGGACCCAGGACCTATTGGTTACAAGGCCTCCTCGTAGACCACTAAGTCACTGGGACCCGATCCTTTGGAGCATGAATTCCAACTTCGGCCAATTCACGACACAGCGCGACTCTAGCCAATGTCTTCGGCGGCTTAATGCGAATCATCGGTCTACGAGCTCGCCTTGTAACCAGAAGGTTAGTACTTCTGAAGAGTCCCGAACTAGGACGAAACAGTCGTCCAGTACTTCCGGTAGACTTTCCAATGGTTCTCTAACCGATTTTAGTTCATGATGAAATCTTGTGAGGGATTAGTCAAATCTCTACAAACCAATACCTAGTGAGAAAATGTCTCTGACGACAAGCTTTATGCCAAAATTAAACAAAGTAAGAACAGCAACGCGTATCAGATAAACTAAATGTTCATGTTGTTGTTTAATCGAAATCCATAAAGCGAATTATTTGCTAGAAATGAAAATGAAGATCGAAGGCAGACTGGTCCATACAAGTGAGAACAATTCGATCCTATTACACGAAAGTGCACTATGTGCAAATATTAAGTACCTCGAAAGGTTAAGTTACACAGATCACCAGTTATATTGGTTGCATGCAATCAGGCTTCTAGGTTGTCCAATCGCATTGCAATAAATATCCTGCCTTGACCTAATGGTTTAATTTGTCTAATCTGGTTGGGAATTCGTGGCCAATAGGGTACAACAGTAACTCATTGAAAAAGGCATTGCAAAGCGGTCACGTTATATCATGAAGTAGTAGAAGTTAGAATTGATGTGTTTGCCATTGGATCGGATCCCAGTGGCCTAATGGTCTGCGAGCTCGCCTTGTAACCAGAAGGTCGTGGTTTCGAATCCCGGTGTATGTGTGATCCTGAAGAGTCCCAAATTAGATGAAACAGTTGTCCAGTACTTCCGGTAGATTTTCCAATAGTTCTCCAACTGATGTCAGCTAGTGATGAAATCCTCCAACTTATCTGATTTAATCCTGTCTATTTCTGTTTTATGCTGGTATGTGTCTGTTTAAGCTAGTCTTAGTCGTTTACATACAGAATTCTAAAGCTGTTGTACTGCAAAACTTTTCTTTTCGCAATATACTTTGAACACCAGGATATATGAAAGGAATGTCTGAAGTTCGCTGGTTTTTATCAGTAAATTATGCCTTCTGCCTCTATAAAATAATGTTTGTGAGATGCGGATGACTGTTTTATTTCTACAAATAATTTGTTAGGTAATACTCAACAGTTTGTTTAATTATAGATCTAAATGATATTAATCTATACCTCGAGTGCTTTGTAGTGAGAGTGTATGTGTAACGAGTTTCAGTAGGTGAAAAATCAATATATACCATTTATTATTTGGTTAATCGCTTAACTTAAACCTATAACTTTTTCAAGATTTGTTAATTAGTATTTTTTTATTACTGAACTTATTCTAAGATATCTTTTCCTGTTGAAGAGGTAAGGGAAAATGGAAAATGCTAGTAGTGCATAGGTGTACATCACGTTTCATGTATATCCTCACCTAAAATTCAGGTTCCAAATCTTAAGTTGTAAGACAAGTGCTGTACTCCTAAAAAAGTGATCCATTTCAGGTTCTTTTTAAAAGTTTGTGGGAAACTTCAGAGTATAAACCGTCATTATACAAAGCGTCGAAAAGCAAAGAACACTGTAAACTTCTTCTGCCTCAGTTTAGGATTCTTCAGGTGTGTGAACAAAATATTTCATGCTGGAATAGAAAATTTAGTGTTAATTAATGACTGGTCTACAGAGTGAATTTTTTTAATTCTAGTGATGCAAAGCCGTAGTTTTTTGGGTCTACCAAGTGACATACGATCATAGTTACTCATCAGATGAGAGTTGAGCTATACCACAAGTTTGAAGTAACTGTCTTCAACTATAAATCAGTTAAGTCTACAGATTACTAATTTTACTATAGAAGTAATAAAAATAGTATCAAAAAATGTGTTCAGTGCTTCGTAGTTGTCGTTCTGTTTTCGTTCTGATTTTCACCACTTCAAATAATGACCCGGTTTTATTTCTGTGTCAAATATCTCTTTTTTTCATTAAAACAAGTATTGAATTACTTCAATGTTTCAGTTTCGTTTCGTTAATATTTGAACTGTCTGGAGTTTTCATACTATTTGGAAACAAATGTATTTTGAGAACTTTCAAAATTTTATTCATTTTTTTCATCTAATGCTTATACATTATACAATTCAGGGTGAAGAATATTTGTTTGTCTACTTCTTCTGTCTGACAGAAATTTGTTTAAAACAAGAGATCTATCAAACTATTGTTTTTACTTTGAATTATGTTTACTTGTTCCTTATTAAATGTGGATAAAAAAGAAAATTATCTGTATTTAAACACAAAGAACTAGTTAGGTTAGAATAGATACTACAAGGTTACTTAATATTATCGTTTCTAACATTATGAAGCATTCACAGATGGATACACCAACTGTAAGGTTAATCAGGATATGAATAGCCACAGGAATCAGCTCATTCGACACAAGAATTCCCTTTTATTAGTTTCCCTCATGAACATCATCCTGATATTTTATCTCATCATGACACTCTTTCAGTATGGCTGTTAATAGGCAAAAATTATAGCTTGTACACAGTTGATGAGAACCAAGGGAAAAAATGGATTCATGTTATTCTGTACCAATTTTTGTTCTTTCTGTACTCATTTCAGCTTATTGTTGGAGAGAGATTCAGGCAAATGTGATAAAATAAAATTCTGTATCAAATACAGTCCTATGTATTGATATACTCACCTTGATGTAGTTATGAGGGAGAAACTGTTCTTGAAAATTTACCAATAAATAACTCTGTATCATTGTGAATGTAGCTATAAAGTGTACATCTATATGCATACTTGATAAACGATGTGTTAAATGATTTGACAGGTTTTGCATGAAAAAGATGCGATTTCTTAATAATTATACAGATTAAATACCCTCCCTTCAGTTGACTGTTACTAGCTGAGTTCCAGTCATGCCTCTACATAACTAAATTACGGAAACTGCACGCAGTTTAGTTGGAGTACGAAGTCTGATGTTGATTCACCACAGATACATCCTGTGGCGCAACCACTCGAGAGCCCTCTCTCTCTCGGTGGACCATTTGCACCGTTAGTATACATAGTAATGCATAGGTAAGCATTGTTACGCCGAACATTGATCGCATCAATCAATTATGCACTGCATAGACAAGCCCAACAGAACTCATTTCGCATACAGACTAGCCAAACGTATTATTATTATATGCAAAAGTAGCACGTATAGCGACGCTGTAGTGACAACAGGCCCCTATAAACGAAGCCAGCAGCCACAAAATTTAATGAAATCGTTATCCCTGCCAACCAATTTAGCATGCAAATAGCTTCTATACGTTTGCCAAGACTGTAGTAAACCATACACAGTCATATAACCGAGCTATGAGAACAATTTAACCCACCCTCATATCGTCTATACAGCTTATGCTGTGTTTACTTTTGGATTTTAGGGTTATAAGCAAGACAGCCTAGCTTGGCGCTATTAGGCCTAAACAAGCTCAAAACCCCATAGTCACAGATACCAAAACACGTTTCACGTATACGTGTATACATATATATATATATATATATATTGCGACCTTATATTCTGTTTGGGTTGGCACAAGCTTATTCCGCACTGGTTCTTGCAAAAGCTTGAATCGCCCTTCTTTGGCAGTTTGATAAGGTAGTCTTTCTTTCAGTTAGCAGTTTCCCTTCCTTCTAAATATTGTGCAGTGGTGGTCCTTTTCTATACTGTTGTGGAGTTCTCCACTTCTCACAGTCTGCTCTAATTCAGTTGCTAATTTGTCACTGAAGCGTCATTTGTCTTTCTTAGCATTCGTTTTCACTCCTTTATTCCGTGAGCTGTAGATTTAACTCAGCTTCTGCCTTCATTGTTCATCTCTGCAGTGATTCACCTACTTCATAATCCCTATCTCTTCTGTTAGCTTCCAGGTGCCTGTAGAGAGCCGTTTCTGTTCCTGCCTCTTCTTTATTCACAAGATGGATATGTAGGTTTCCGTCAACATTACTTTTGAGAGAGTTCCAGTGTCCTTCCAAACTGGTCTCCTTGGTGGTGTTGCCTAAAGTGTCTAACTTCTCCTGATGCCTGCTGTGAAGGAATTCTATGTAGGTTCATCCTTGATTTTATGGGCGTTGAACTTGAATAATGACCTATTTCTAGCTCCTTTCAACTCGGTCTCAAAGGATACCTACACCAGATAGTGGCCTTGATTTTGTTCTAGATGAAGTCTATCTGCATCTGTCCACCTAGTGAAACACATGTTACCTTGCCTGTGTCATTGTGCTTGTACAGTTTACTTCCGATCACTAAGTCACTGAATTCGCATAAGTCTGCAAAGAGTTCCCCGCTCTCATTCATTTCGCCAAGAGCCTCTTGACCTATAATGAGATATCTTCCTGTGTCGTTTGCTCTCAGCTTGACTGGTATTCATATCACTCATAAGAATTTTGATGTCTCCATTTCCGGCCTTGTCCATTATTGCTTGCAGCTGTCTAAAGAATTCTTCCTTTTTCTCTTGTTCTGAGGTGTTTGTTGACGCGTAGAGTTGGATGATTGTAACTTTCTTACCTATTGAAACGAATCTTACTGTCATTATTCTGAAGTAGACTGACCCTCATTGTGTTAAATGCTACTGAAGAAACCTTGACC